TAGATGGTAAACATATCTATATCCAGAGCCCTTTCAATAGTGGCTCACAATTTTATTACTTTAAACATAGATTTTCAATTAACCTGTTGCCTGAAAATTTACAGATGTGGGAGCATATGGAAAGCAGTGATGGTGAAGTATTTAGAAATAGATCTTTATATAGAGGTTACATTTAATTTTTATATATTATAAAAATATATATAAATAGAATTGGTGAACCATACACTTGATCTGCCTGTTCCAAAGCCCTTTCCAGGATTTAATAAAGCCATGATTTAATGGTTAGGAATGATGCATTCCCTTTATCAAATTATCTGTTAAAGTCCTACCACAAAAGAAATCTATTTAGAGAGGTAAAGGAATTCCCATGAGGTTATCCCATGTCCATGTTATGTTAAGTATTAAGGAGTTTTGGGGGAATTGTTAAAAAATTTGAGCTTTTGAGTAGGCCAGTAGAAATTGGCTAAGCTAGCATATAAATAGTCATAAAAACAATCTGTATCTTAAACAGCATCAGCAAAGAAGGATCAGCTTCCAATGATGATACAGGTACCAAAAATATTTAAATTTAAATATTTAATTATTAAACATCTTATGTATTTATAATATTATTAAAATTATGTTATCATCAAAATTATAGAAACAATTGTTAACCTTGATAAACAACCATAGAGAAAATATTTCTTCCTCAATGGAATCAAAAATTCATAGAAACAAATTTAAAAATTATTAAATTTTTATATTTATATTTTAATAAATTAATATAATATATATACAATTATGTTATAATAACAAAAATATTACATTTAAATTACAAAAACTTTATTGATATATAAATTTATAATAAATAATAATTTATAAAATGCTATCAAATACAACTAATGTAAATTCATTAGCAGGTTTTGGTAAAGTAGGCTTTGTCTTTAGATGATGTAGCAATTTTAAAACCACAATTTTAAACAATAGTTGTTTGCTAAACTTAAGTTTTCCAAATCCTCTACAAGGCTATCCATAAAAAGTCTAAATAAAATTTAGATAAAAATAAGCTTTACTGCATCCCAGGTGGCTTTTTTCCAATAGATTTATCAACATATTAATATCACTTGGCATTTTTAGTTTTATTATTTTTATAAATCAGCCGAATAGCTCTGCGAACAAAGCGTTACGTTATGCGTAGTGAAAACACATTTATCAGAATAAAATAATAAATATTGATAATAGTAATACATTTAATATCGGCCGAGTAGCTCAGTCGGTTAGAGCGTCGTGCTAATAACGCGAAGGTCGCGAGTTCGAGACTCGTCTTGGCCAATTTTTTTTTGTTGAAATATTGCATATATTTAATTCGAAGCTATCCACAAAGTACAAATGTGGCGTGGTTTGGGTTCGGTTTAGGGGATTTTTGAATCCAGGTTTGGTTGCGGGTTCAGCTCGGGTTTAGGAAATTTTGAATTGATAAAAAAATTCTATATAAACCACATAAATTTAGTATTGGCAAAATATATTTTAAAATACAAAGCATAGTCATGTATCAATTTTTAAAATATTAGACGTATTAGCATTATCTTCCAAGAGTTGTTCGTTCTTCTTCGATATCGATGAAAGAGTGAATTTCAAATATGAAAGAACTTTCAGCGCTAACCATAATATATTTATATGAAAATATGATAAATTAACTTAAAATAAGAAAAATTAAAAAAATATTTTTTTAATTTGGCATGCATCTTTACCAATTAAAAAATTAAAATAATATATTTTTAATTCCTTCTCAATTAATGACTCATGTTTTGGTAGAATCTTTTTTGTAGCAACATTTATAAAAGTTTCTATCTAGTGAAATTTATAAATAGTTTCATGTATAAAATATATATATCAAGGTGCTACACCTTAGCAGAGACAAAAATGCAAAATATTTCTTATATAATCTTTTATAATTGCCGAATTCAATAATTATCGTTCCAATACCTTTCTTTGTTTGCAATCGTTAGCACACTTTTAACTATTTTCTCGCCTTTCTTTAATTTTTATCAATCTAAATCATCTTATTCAAAATTTGCACCCGAAATATTATCATCAGATAAAATGGGCGTAGATATTGGGTTTAATCCTATTTTATAAATTAACAAGATGCCTTTCCGAACAATCATCAAGTAATATCTGTAATATTTTAAAGGATTTATGCCGTTTATATTAAAAAATCTCTTTATATTTACAATTTTACAAATATCTTAATAATATTCACTGAACCCGGGGTTCGGTCCGGAGTAAATTTTATAAACGGGGTTGCAGTTCGGTTCGGGCTCAAAATTTTTTTTTAAATATCCGGGTTTTCTTTTCCGGGTTCGGTTCAAATCCCTGGTTATAAGGCACTTATTTTTTTAATAGACATTAACGGAGTCACGTGGTCGAGACCGATTTACTAAGTTTATCATCCTTTACCCCAAGTACGGAACCAACAAGCTAGCTTAGGAAAAAAAAACTTAATTGCTGAATTCGAGCCCTAGGTCTATCGGTTCCATAATCAAAGCACTCACCAACTGAAACCATTGATGATATACGAAAACCACCATTTATTTCATATATAATAATCAGAGTTGTTAAAGGATCTAGATACAAGTATCTTGATCCTGTATCTAGATATAAAAATGTGGTATCTGTATCTGGATAGATTTTTGATTAAAATATCGGTATCTAGATATTATTTTAGACGATGTATCTGTATCTAGATCCATTTAAAAAGTATCTTTTAACAACTCTGATAATAATTAATAAATGGCAGGTCTAAACGAAAAAATTATAAGTCATTAGCCTCTGGTTTTCTTCGATTTGGATCAAGGTGTAGTGGTTTGAATTTTAGAAATTGGTTTTGTGGTTGCCCAAAAGACATTAAATCGATGGTAAAATGTAAATGCTAAGTTCGTAAATAGGGTATCCAATCTACATTGTTTATTTAACTATTTTAAAACATCTGTTTGTTTGTGCATTAATAATAGGTCTCTTTATCACTTGACCATGACTTGCCACTCATAATATCAGGCATTGTAAACAAAAAAGACAAATATCTGATCGCAATGAGTCTAACTTTATTATTCTACAACATAAATATATTTATTTTGTCTGTTGTGTTAATTATTAAAATGCTCTTCAAAATAAAAATCTTCAAAGATCATTTTTTAGAATGCTCAAACATGATTTTAGATCAAATTTTACCTTTGTGCATAACATTTTCATGAAATCCATAAATTTTTTTTAATCTTTTTAAAAAAAAAATGTTCAAAATTTTAACACCGATTTCTATATATGCAAAATAAACGAAATCTGTCAATTTTGTATTGAATGTTTTATTTTATTAGGTATCTGAAAACCCCCAAAAAATCTAGATTTGGTTCTTTATATCGTAATCCACAGTTTGGTATTATCTTTACAATTTTTATTACGGTTCTGTTTAGCCTTTGAATATCAGCTCCAGGCTGAATCGGACCTTATTCACTACATTGATCCAATCTAATCTATTATACATCTGATGGCTTAGCCCTATCGCAAATTTCATTCTTCGAATCTTTTGTATAAATATAGCTTAAGTAATGTCATTAACTATTTATTTTACATTATAATCTTCCTGTTCCAATGGATGAATACAGAAATTTATCAATAAAAAGGTTTTAGAAAAAAATGTACATTCATTATTTTCTCAAAATTGCTTTTTTTAATGAAAATTTGGTCCTTTTTATTAATAATAAATCATTTTAAAATTATTTTATATTTGCTCAAAAGCAAGTCCATCAATATAATAGAATCTAGGAGGTACTATATGATATAAACATTTACCCCCTTCCGAGACTAACCCTCATTTGGATTTCCATTTTAATTGGTACCATAAGCAAGGGGTTCTTACTATCCCGTCAGAAAATAAAGCGAATCGTTATAAATTAAAATTTATCAATAACCAAATAATCTATCAGTCAACTTATATCAATAGATATTGTTTAATTATCGATAGAATTTTCTTCACCCAATCACAGATAGTGATTTAGGATAAGCGCTACAGATATATAATAAATAAATAATTTTTTTATATATATATACATACCTCGTCTGGAAAAGGTTTATAAAATAAATTTTATCTTTTGATAATTCAGATTCACCTAATATTTTAATTTTATACAATGGCATAGAGCACTTCTAAATATTTTGATGTTCACTGTTATCCATAGATTTGTTTCTATGGCTATCATTAGTGAAATATACGAAAAACGTAAAGATTATTTTCATCTGTAATAACTACATTTCTAAAAAATGTCATTTTTAGCTAATACGCAACGCTCATAAACTTTTTTCTTCAAAGATATCGTTTTGCCATAAATCGAAATAAAGATTAGTTTCTTATAAAGGCGTTAATATCACATTATATCTTGACTTTACATGTCCATTTAAATCTTTTTTATTTTGAGGCTTCAATTTAACATATTACCGATTAATTGATTTGACCAAGTATATATATTACTAGATGATGTATACAAAAGGTATTATTGAAGTTTTAAGAAAAAAAGGATTAAATTATTCCTATTTTATATCGATCAAACCACATGTATAGTTCAAGACAACCCCTCTTGTAACAGTTTTTAATAATACTTTAATTTTTTTTAGGATAAAACTATGACACCGGGAAATTATAATTAATAGTTTTATAATTCTTATCAAAACGAGATAAATAAGTAGAAATTAGTAATGCGTCAAACAGGAGAGTCCTAGCGAATAATGTTTAAATTAGGAATTTCCATTTTTTAAGGTAATATGTGCACACATAATATATTTTAAACTAATAATAATTTATAACTATATATTTATGAATTTAATTAATTTTTTTTATAATGACTACTACCAAACACTCGAAAGCGTTTGCTATGGCTTTCGCCTAAAATAATTGTTAATTAAAAGAAATTTGCCTAAATGCAATCATTTTATTTTATTGAAATATATTGCCAAGGTTTATTAAGAATTTAATTCATTTTTGCGCGCTTTAAATTTATATCATCAATCATGTCAGGAGGTTTATTGTTTGCCTCGGCATTAATTAGGCTCTGAAGAATATCTTTTCGATCGGGGTAAGGAAATTTTAGAGCGCAGCCAGCATTGGAACAAACTCTAAGTTTAACGTAGGCCATAAAAACTTTTTCAAAAGCCAAGAATTCCAATATGTTTTCTTTGAAAAGTGGGTGGATAAAATCGCGCAAAACATTTATATCGTTCGAGAAATTTCCTAAAGGTGAGGTTATATTCTCCAAGGGGACATTGTAGGAATATATTTCGGAGGCTTGCAAAGGGTCCTTGTTACTGTCATTATTAGGAAGAGATGGTAGCGACAAATTATCCGAATATTCGGGATATTTGTACTTGACTATTCGCCACCACTCCTTGATTGTGTCTAGTAAATCTTGACTCTTCTCTCGATTTAAATCCTTAAATGTGTCCTTTAACGAAGCTTCCTTCTGATCGCTATACACTTTGATATCGTCCTTAACGATGAGTTTAGCATGATTCAATGCTACCATAAGTGGCAAAATCTTGTCACCAGATGCCGAAAGTTTATTGAGGGTGGAGCACTGTAGTTTGAAAACGTGAGATTGGTGTTCTTTTAGCTCAAAGCTAACAATGCAGGGTAAAGGATAGACGGGATCGGGAACGGGCCATGATTGTTCGAGAACTTCGGAGTCCTGGTTGAGTATAAATAAAAGTTGGCTAGATATATAATAAATATTATCAATCGTAATAATTTGCTCTTTCTCAGAAACAAACGATATAAAAAATAATATTTCTTATGGAGCAATAATTCCATCTATACATAATGTATATATATATATAAAAAGAGTAAATATTCAAAAATAAAGTAAATATAATCAAAAAACCCATTTAATACAACCGTTTTCTGTATCGTTCACATTTCTATCCTCCAGCTTAGGCAATGAGCTAATCCCGCGCCATAATTCGGAAGCGAAATGAGGAGCAAACGTACTTAATACTATGATCGCCTTAGCCGCGGATAATTGGTATTGGTAACTTTTGGCCAGCATGACTAAAGGGTAATTCTGTTTAATTAATATATATATTTATAAAATAGATGGGGCCAAATGTTTGTTGAAAAGTGGCTAAAATATTTCGAAATTTTTAAAAAAACCTGGAATATTTCCTTCCAATTTAAAAAAATATAAATAACTTCAATTTTCAATAAATATTCAAACTTTTTTCATTCTTGATAAATCCAAACTCAATATGAATAACTTATACTAATTCAGTCTATATCTTTCCTGTGAAATTTCTCAAAATAAAATTAGACAAATCGGTGCCATGATGCATGCTTATGAAATCATCTTTACCATGGGTATGCAATGCCCGACCTGGATATTGTTGAGCAAGGGCAATGCTGGATATTTACCAAATTCCCACCGAACCCCTGCCTGAAGATTTGTGCCATTTGCCGACCTCTGATTCTTACTACTAGTACGAATTTATATATTTTTTAAAAATTTACCCGCAAGATGAGGCAAAATGATTCCAATTGGTCGATAACCAAATGCAAATTATGATTCTGGAAATGAAAATTAATCTTGGCGATAAAATAATTCGTTTTATCCCGGAGATCTCTATCCAAGTCTCTAAGTTTAGCCAATGATTCAGGTGAAAAATCTAAATATTATTTTAACAGGGAAAAAGATCTAAAACGTTGCCAATAAATTCTCTAAATTTATATCTGATTAATAACTAGCGATTTAAAATTCTTAATGTAAAATAGTTTAAATATTTAATGAGATGATAGGAGGGGCACATTTCAATCCTCTAGGTTACCTTAAAACTCTTCATAAAAAATCGTACTTTATCTTAGGTTTGAGTAAATAAAAATAGATTTAATCAAAATTTATTTAAATCTTATCTGCCAATCCAAACATCAAAACCTATAGGCTCCGTTCTCTGTTTGCGTAGGTGGAAAATGGTTAACCAAAGTTTATCTTGAAATTTAATGATTTCTGATTGGTTCTTATCGTTGCTAATCCACGGTTTTTGAGAACATGGGCTGCTTTGACTCAGCGCTATGAGTCTGAGTGTGTCTATTCCATGCGAGTCTATCAATTCCTGAGGATTTATGCCGTTAAATTTCGATTTCGACATTTTTTCCCACTTTGTTTGAACGGGTAGTTTGGTTACTTTGTCGATAAGAGACTTTCCTAATAAAAATATGAAAAGTTTAATATTATAATACTAATAATTGTTTTCAAAAAAAAAAATCGACGATCCAGTTTATTCATAACAATTTTTGATTTAAAAAGGCGCCAATATGTCGCTTATAAGAATTTTTTGAGTATATTTGAGCGGTTATTTTTTTTTTATAAAAGATATATAGGTTAATTGTTCCTATACATAAAATAATCATAAAAATGGTAGAGGGGGGCAGGTGAAGGAATACAATGATTAATTTTTTGATTAAAACTAGCAAGTGTTTTGCAAGTTTACGGGTTGAATTCTGTATTATAGGATCACTGAGAGATTGATATGAAATGAAAAAAAATTATAATTTTTCAGGGCTGCATATATGCACACCAAAAATGTCGATAAAGCGATCACATAATATCTGTGCTCTATGGAAATTTCTAAGTGTTGTTAAACGGCTCAATAATTCAATATTTTATTAGGAAAAATATTATGCAAGCCTTAAGATTTTGCTCATAGGCGGCACAAAGATTTGAGCATCTATTAACGAAATCTCGAGACTTAAACAATATTTTTCTGGCTAAAATATCGGGTTAGCCCTTTTTAAAAATCGACTCAAATTGAGCCGTTTAACAACACTAAAAATTCCTATCCGTCAACGATGATATTTAAACCATGTTTTGAGATTAAATTAAAATTCAGGATTATGGTTAAAGATATGAGCAAAAAAAAAACCTCATAATAATGTGGATTATATTGTAATCCGTTATTGACTGACCCGGCCCGAATAAAAAATTTTCAGACTTTACTCGGATGGACCGGGTATTGCAGATCTCTAGAGATCTAAGTGCTGCCCGTCTCTTTTTTTCTAAACGATGGGCTGGAGGCAGCATATCAAATTTCACGCCACCATAAAAATCTGCAGTGGAGTGATGGTGTTGAATTTTTTTTTAAAACTAAGATTATTAATTTATTAGAAGCAAATTTTGAAATAAAATTTATCATACAAATTTTCAATTTATATCTAACAAATATTACTCATAATAAGAACCCCATTAAACGATTTATTTAGTATTATAATTACATATAATAATCATTTGATTTTGGATTTGGAGGGCTATCGAAGAACTTCTTAAGTTCAATGTGAGACCAGCCATGCAGAATACACGCTTGCTGAATTTACTTGTAGCTGAAATACATAATTATAAAAAATTGAAGGATCGGGATGATCCAATGCTCTTATTTTTCTAACGAATATTTCCGTTATATATGAAACATGGGACGAAAACAAATTTTTCTTGGACAGTCAAATTGTCTTGTTGTCCAAATATTGGAGATCAATTGACGAATGTTTAGTAGCTAATATCTTAAGATAATCTGATACTGATGGAAACTCAGATTTTTGACAACCTACCAGATTGTCCATGTAAGGCCTGAAATAATGCTATACAACAACAAAAAGATAAAAATGTCGATTTGATTTTTTATATTTTGATATAGTGAAATAAGATTTAGATAAGAACAAGTATTCTTTAAAATAAATCAGTACTAAATGTAGAATGAGATTAGTTTTATTTAAACAATATTGTATTGCAAAAATCGATATTTTAACATTTATTGAAAATCTTGCATTCCAGTATTATTTATAGAAGGGAATGGCATTAAATCCTTGTTAACCATCATTAGAACAAGAATCCATATTTTTGTCTTTTCTGAGATCATTAATGTAGCTTTTACAGTGAGCTTGGAAAAAGATTTTTAAATTTCAATTTTTCTCATATCTTTCCACTTTCACATGATACGTCATGCTCGTTTAATAAAACATCTCGTTAAGTTCGATTTACTGCTATTTTAGAAAAGATTTTATTGAATAACTAATAACTTTTAAATATAATTATAACAAATTTCTGAAAATAAATCGTTTTCATCCTCATTATCTTTATAAATTGCTATTTGTAGGCATAAATTTTTTAAAAAGTAAGAACTTTTGCTCCTAACCAATTGTAACTTATTTTTAAATTGAAACCGTTTTTTAAATAAAATTATTTAATAATAAAAAAATATATATGATTTAAACAAGAATAATTTTAAAAATTATATATATATAAAACCTTATAACTTTCAAAAGTATAAAATAAATTTCTTCGTGAATTTGTTTCAAACAAAAAAAAATTGAAGAATTTAAAAATATAGACTAAAAATTATATATAACTTTTGAAATCAACTCTTTCTCGTGGAATATAGACTCCACTTTCTTGGATAAAGAAGCTTTTGTTAGTAACTTGCCCAATCATTAAAAGGGATTTAAACGGTTCCTTGTGTTGTGTCATACCGATGGAATGAAGAAAATGTTGCATAAATCGAGCGAAATAGAGGTGCAAAGTGGCTTTAATATACAATTTTTTTTAAATAAATCTAACAATATATTTTGTAAATTATTTAAGATTAATATTTAGACTTTTAAATCAAAGAATCATATTTAATAGGTTACTAAAAATAACCTTACACAATATTGTCAACGTGTTTTTTCCAGCAATGTGTTATTTTTTTTTAACTTTAAATCATTTTTTGAGCGCTTTTTTTGTAAATTTAAAAGTTTTGATTTTACCGGAAATGTAATCCAGCATGTTTAGAATACCTATCTTATGAATTGTAGATAATTTTATCGATAACCTTTGAGTCATTTACAATTTATATGAAAAATCAATGGAAAAACTAATATACAAAAAAAAAGAGCTCAAAAAATGATTTAAAGTTGAAAAAATAGCACATTGCCGGAAATATCACATTGACGCTAACATTATATATATGTTGGTAGCAATTAGGGATATTCAAAAAATGAACTATTTTTTTTATATAAAAATAATTGAATTTAATTTTTACTGTTCTAACAATTAACGCTACTTTTTAATATAAGGTATTTCTCTTTAGAAGCTATTTTCTAAAAAAAATTATGCCTATATTTTTTTTCCATAACTAGCTCTAAGAGCAAATAAAATATGGAAGCCCTCATATGATCATATATATATGCATAATTTTTCTTATAGTGGCAAAATGAACTCCTTATTTTTTAATAGATTTACATATTTTGTAAAACTTTAATTTATAATTAATGAATTTTGTTATTTGAATTTTAAAATAAGATTTTTTTAAGTTTTTCTCTAGCGAGAAGAAACATCTTTAATTTTCTCTATAAAAATCCTTTACAACTGCTGGTCATTGAAATAGAAATCTTGGCATTAGGTCATAGTAGTTTACATTTATAAGTCCCGGTGTTACTATTTTTATTGATAAGTTCTTTCACATTCTATATTTTTAAAAGTCATGAATAATGATATACAATATATTACTCAAAAAAGCAATTCTGTCATTTTACTCGTTAGTTTCTAGATAGTAACGAATGACGTTATTCAAACATTTCAGTTCATGGCGTCAAGCATTGTCACTAAACGTATTTCCTTTTTATATGTTGAATCGGTATGCCTATTGGTTTTTATAATGTCGCAAAAAAGTTTCTCTACTAATTTATAAATTTTTTTTTTCAATTGGGAATGCCTTTCTTGTTTCAGAATTCGCCTATTTTGCGGTGCGGTAAAATAATGCCGAGACTAACGGAGTAAAATTCTTGGGAAGAAAAATAACAACATTCGTGAACCATCTAGAAACTTCAGATCTTAAAATATTTTAAAACGCAAAAGAACTTATGTAAAGACATCTACTCAGTTGCCAATATAAGGCTTTATAAGCCATATTCAATCGTATTAATAATGTGTATCGTAATATTTAATGTATGGCCTACAATTCTCCTGAATCTGATTGGATAGTAAGATCGGCAATATGATCTGCTTCATAGTTTTGATATTAGAGAATACTTATATTTTAAGATTTTAGAATATTTTCTAACGAAAAAAAATCAAATAAAAAGTCTTTATTAAATTATACAATACCCCAATAAAGAAAGTGGTTAATTATATATCATATGTTAGCTACCGCCTCGAAAACAAAAAGTAACGAAGCTATTAATCGCCCCTGCATATAAGCTACTCAATTTTAATCGTTACTTTTAGCAGCGCAGAACTAATGATTTTAGCATACCTCCATAATGAATCAGGACTTTTAGTAGAGGATCACTGGCACTAATACCGTTTTCTTTCACTTAAACCTCTCACCATATAAAATAAATATATAAAATATCTTTAGCATTTTATTTCCATTTCAACAATTTATAAAACGCTTATTAAAATTTGGAGAACATTTCTAGGTCGGATTTATATACAAATTTATTTTTTTTTTTAAAAACCATGTTCTTTTCCCCCAACGTACAAATCGACCGGCAAATATGCATCAACTACGTCATTTCTGAAGGGAGCTGAATCGCACTGGGAATCCAAAAATCGGGAGAAATACCAAGATGAATCTACAAAGGTGTCCAGTGTATCCGTGTCAAAATAGGCCAAGGGGCAATGACACACGGGGCACGTGGTGTGGTTAATCGTCTGGGTAGGGTCTAGAATAATAATATTTCTACAAAAATTATCTCAATTTGGCAGCGATGGCAATATTAATTTTAATATATATATATATATCCAGTTTTGTAATATTTTAATCCCCCCAAAAAAATTATTTTTAATAAAGCGCTTTGAGAGTTGATAGAGGTTTTTTAAACACACGCGTTGGCTTTTTGCGAATGACAAAAAAATACAATAAATATTATATTTTAAATTCATAAATTTCTTAAAAATTTATTATTACTCTACTCGTGGAAGTAAAAAGATAATTAATTAAAATCATCTAATATTTATAGAAATCGAAGAGAGATATCAAAATATCATCCTGTTCTTCCTTGAAAAGATTCAAAAAAAAATTAATATTTATTTTACAAGTCCTTTTAATTTTGTTCTTTCTTTCTATCTTTTCTTTTCATTTTCTTTCTTCTAAGAAATAATACAAAATTCAATCGTATAAACAATAATACAATGTTCTATTAATAGTAGAAAACTCACAAAATAAAGTAAATACTATTTTTTACAACAAACGTTATTTTATTTTAATAATACTAAGTAGTGTTATTAAAAAATCACTGCTATATATGTCGTCGGTCTAGAATTGGAGTGCTGCACTCGACATTTTCAAAGTTTTAGAGTTAGAAGTCGATAATAACTTATTTATTTCCAATAAAAACTAGATTAAAAAAATATTAATTTTTTAGTTATTAACAAAATTGATCAATAACTTTTTCCTATTTTAAACTTTAATGTTGATTTTCTCAATTTTAAACATTTGCGCAAGTGGCCTAGACCGACGATGTTTCGATTAAAATTACAAAAGAAGTTTTAAATGTTAGTTTTAATAATATAAAACAACTGTGGGCTTTATGATAAAGCAAAAAAAATCATATAAATACCTATAATAATTGGTAATTTAGAATATGCCACGGGATAAACTCCATTTATGTTAAACGCTCGATTGCCTTTAACCTTGCATTCGGGGCAATGTATGATGGGCACGGGGGTCCCCCACTTCCTTTGTCGCGAAACGAGCCAGTCTCTCAACCTGGAACTGGAGTCATAACCGCCCGAGCTATTTTTTTATAAAGAAGCATTCAAGGATGAGTTAGCGTATATAAAAAATCGCATACAAAATCTTGATAAGCTTGTAAAGAGATGCCAAAATTTTAGGGTGATAAATTTGTACATTAATGGTGACCGTAGAATTGAATAAATTTTTCTGGACTCTAGGATCGATGTTAGTTTATGCAGGATATTCTATAAATAACAACTCCTTCGGATCTTTACACTTTAGAAACAAAAAAAAGGTTATAAACTTATAATTCTTTTTTTCATGTAAAATAATTAAGATCATTTCATTTTGTATAAACGTATCTCGAGGTCAAAAATTTCGAACTAGAACATTTATCGAGAATAAATAAAAACAGATATAATCATTAAGCCCGGCGCGTAGCCAGGAATTTTCTAAAGGAGGGGAAATTGGATCATTAAACAATTTATCAGAACTAAATTATCATATAAAATTTAATAAAGCCAAATCATATTTATTTTTTTTTAAAAAATGACTATTTCTTTCTTTCTTTCTTTCTAACATAAATAATAAAATTGGAAAATACAAATTTTTAAAAGCGACTGTTAATAATAAATTATTATAACTAATATCAGAGACCTGCAGACCCGGCCCTAAGTCCGACCCGAGTACATGGGCTGGGCCGTATTTATTATTTTTAAATATAACCGGGCCGGATATCTTAAATCGCCATTATTATCTATAAAAATTAAAAAATCCGGGTTGGGTCTGAAAATATAAAAACCCAGACCAGGGACGTAAAATTTGGGCCGTCCATCCATTCAATCGGTTCTCTGATATCGTACTTCTGAGATAGGTTTTAATCACCGTAATGAAAAAAAGGCCATCTCATTTATGCTTGTATTTATGGTATTGTTGCCAAAATATATCATAATTTTAATTAATTTGGAAGAAGAAATTAAAGCTACAAAAAATATTTTAAGGTATGCGATGCTTCCCATTACGTTTCTCTGAGGATTATTTATTAAAATTAATCTTTCATACGAAGATTTAAATTTTGAAATTAATTGACCCTCAAAATACATTTATATCATTTAGATAAAGTTGAGTTAAATATTTTCAATATGAAGATTTAATTAGTAGGATTTTTATGTAATGGTATTTGTAAATTGGATAGAGCCATTAGATGAATGCACGAATCGTGTTGATTTGAGTCAAAAATGTATCCAAAAAGAGGAATAAAAACGGTCACTTTATGGTAGTCTTCGGCATTAATATTGGAACGATTTGTTTGTCCAGGTACAAGTCGAGGCTTGTGAATCTCGAAATCATATGATTTTAGCCTCAACAATCACATAAGCTAAATACAACTCTATTGAATTTTAATCTATATTTTTAACAAATTTATGGGTGTTTTTATTTTAAGATTTTACGGATTTCGTGGGTCTACAAATAAATATTTTGATAAAACACAATTGTTTACCAATTTTTTCTCAGATGTCTTTTGACAGAATGTCTGATTTCTTCGATATCGCCGTCACCGTGTGAATCGTTCATTTTCGATATCGAGTCGAGAATATTGGGATCCACGTATTTCCTATAAAATTCGCGAGTTTTTGAAAGATCTTTCGAGGTAGGACATGACGGCGCATCAATCGTGAATGAGTACTGAGAAACTGAAATAAGATTTTTTTTTTGTGATATAAGAATGAAATATGAATCAAAACTCGAGCATATTATTTTAAAATATCAACTTTCAAATTCATATTCATATCAAAATGTTATGTTACAAAGAAACGGACTCAGTCAGGGATTATTAGTACGATTGAATATAGTGAATGAGATACATCACTGATGATATTATTCGCAGGTAACTTTTCCAAAGCATATTTACAGACGTACTATGTGAAAGAATTGTTAACGATTGATTACCATATCAAAAGGGTTGAATGGATGCCTTTTTTGTAGGTTATCTCTTGGGATTAAGATGATGGAAGGAAGAAAGATAAGGGGAAAGATTTAAGGTGGGTCAGGGAAGTTGCGGAAATATTCAAAGGTGGACCAATCACTTGGAAAGAAGTGAAAGGAGACTCAAAGAGGTCGAGAATTGATAAAAATAAAGGCTTATTTAATGAAAAAGAAACAATAAGGAGGATGGGACATAAAGAATTTAGAAGTGTTGATAAACTTGTATGAGGCACGTGAGCAGTCATTTAAAAAAAATTGTGAAAGTTCTAAAGTTACTATACACGGGACATCAAAACGCTAAAAGAATAGAATAATGGAGTCGATAAGATTTATGGTGGGCCGGGATAAATAAAATAATATAAAATATGTATTAAAAATGTGAAGCTTGTATTTTAAAATGGTGGATATATATAACTCAAAATGGATTGAGTATCAGGAAAAGTTGTAATATAAAAATTGTCAACGTTATTGGGGAAATATGGGGTTATAAATACTTTAGTTTCAAATAGAGAGCTGGCGTTTTTAAGTGCCATATTCTAGCAGCACCAAATTACCTGAGTTTGAAAAGGCAATTGGAAAGGATTGATAGGTCCGAAAAACTTGGTTGAAGAAAATAAAGGAAGGAAAATGAGAAACGTGATTTCCATTGTCCTATTACAATCATGCCAAATATAAGCGTGGATGGACTCTGTTGATTTAGAATATAATTGAACTAGTTGAAGGAACATAAGTATAGTGAAGATGAGCAAACAGGATAGTTGGAATATATAATAGGTCAGAAGGTATGGGTAAGGATGCAATTGACACTGGGAAAAAAGATAGTCCGCCATAGGGATCAGGTAAGAGATCGAAGGTAGTGGAGGATTACGAAAAAAATGGGATACATAAATAGTGTAAATCACGGGGAAAGTTGAACCTGAATAGGTTATCTAAGTTTTGATGTTACAATTAAATGGAAGGGGGGGGGGGAAGAAAAAATTGATGAAATATCTTAATCATTGGTTGGGAAAACTGAAGATGTGGAAAAGGCGAGGTCTCAAAAAATATCAGGGGTATTTTACTAAAAGTAGTTATAGTTTCTTAGAAAAAAAAACTTATCTTAAATTGGATATAATAGACAATGTATATGGAGATTGGGGTAGTAGTGTTGCAGATATCTGCCATTTAGCGATCGTTTTTATTCACTGAAAAGTGGATTTCATATGGGTATAATGGGAGGGGCATGTCAAGCTATTTCGCAAATATAGGTAATGAATGACCAAGGGACACAGGTCTGCATCGTATGCAAAGGAAGAGAGATGTGAGAATAAGCATTTGAGAATGATACAATTCGTGATCCATCTAATGTGGTGAAGAATCAGGGTCGGGATCTCAAAACCAGAACGGACACCCATGGAAAGCTATGTCTGTCAGATGTTGAAATAAGGTAGTCGTTTCTCCCTGTGAGGATAATACCTGGAATAGGATAACATTATCCCCGGTCTTTCCTATCGGTGTTAAACCGTATAGAAATAAGATGATGATATACCCTTGTTAGGCTGGAGAATAAGAAATAGCCAAAAACGAAGCAATTGCTGGTGGGGGGGGGGCTGAATGCACTGGTGGAGGCGGTTCAGCAATAGAAAGTCTGGGATTCTGAGGACGTAATACGGAAAGTAGTAATAAGATGGGAGTTGCTACATTGGAGCACGGTACCATATAACAATCAATCAGTTATATGTGAGACAGAATGACCAGTCTACAAAGGACGGAAATTTAATGACGGACTAAAGGGTCAGAGATCAGCAGATTCTACCCTGCAGATAAATAGAATGGAACTAACAATATCGACTCAAGAGTTAGAAAAACGTTCAGGGAGGAGGCATTATCATGGAAATAAGAAAATGGAATATTCTCGATTATTCTCACGGGAAAATTACTGTAAGGAAGACATAAAGGAAAGGGGGGATAGAATGTTTGTATTCTGTGATTATTCTGTACCATTAGCTATGTAGAAAATTATTTAAATAAAAGATTTAAAAATATATGAATTTGATAATAACTCTAAAACGGCATTGGCCATTGTTTCTCATCCCTACTTTAAAAAATCGTTTTACCTTATATAACCAATTTGTCATTTTCTACAATTTATTTCATTTCATATTTCATATAAATTTTAACATATTTTATTTAAAAAATAAAGCTTGATGTTTAAAAAAAATTCTCTTGTATCTAAAATACTTTTTTTTAACAAGATACAAGTATCTTATATCTTATTGAAACTTTTCCTAAGTATCAAGTATCTTAAATACAAAATTTTTAAAATGCATCTGTATTTTTATCCGAATACAATTTTTTTTTAAAATTTGCAAAACCCTGAATTACTATATCCATTGAATACGACCATGGTTATTCATTACTAACCCAAAAATAATGACGTGAAAACTTACTCACAATTCAATTGATAAATGTAAAGGACAAAATGTATAAAAAAATTGAAAGCAATAAACGCAAAACTATTTAATTTTTTTTTCTTTTAAAAAAACCGAATTTAGAATCGTTGTGAATATCGTATTCTATATCATCGACAACGAATATCGGAATTTTATAATCATCCTCGAGAAACGGGTGAGCAGCCTTGATAATTAACTTCTTTATCATATCCGAATCTGACTTTTTAAAAAACGTTGTTAATGTTTATAAATCAGTGACAGTCATTTAATCTTTTCATTTTTTTTAAAAAACATATGTTTTTTCTCTCCTTGCGACAAAACCCAAAATTATTTTGCTTTATGGGATTTTAAATATATAACTTTTGTTTTTACTTTTGGCGGAATAGGATTCGAGTACTAGTTACAATAATAATTTTTTTGAAAAAAAAGAGTCAATTATTTTCGCGTACCTCGAAATTTTTATCGTACAACTCGGGAAGATTTAATTCGTGTTCGCTTTTAATGGCTATAGCCATCCCACCATTTTCTTCCAGTAAGCCATTTTTGTTGTATTGTCCGGTGTAGGCCAAAATTTCCGGTCTGTCCATAAAAACCGACAAACGCGAATCGATTTCCGTTCCGGGTAGCCTCTCTATCGGAAAGTCTGCGTAAGTTCCCCAATCCTTTTTAAGCGTCTTTATTTATTTTTTTTTATAATACTTAGTATTACCAGAATATTTAAGTTCATATAATTTTTAATTTATGGTGTTTTTAGTCAAATGGTGTCCATTGGTATTTTATGCTACTAGAGACGATCCATTCGTGCCCATAATGGCACATTAATGACATTCAATCGACGTGAAAACCACAAAATGGCGCTACAGCTGACTCATATGGATGGACACTTAAGTATATTTAATAAATGAATCGCCAATCTAATAGTATATATATACATCAATGATAGTGCCATTAATGAGGTATTTCCATATATTTAGTAGTGTCGTGTCATCAAATTCGCACTAAAAAAGGACAGTGTTTGAAAAAAAAAAACTTATGATAATGATAAAAATTAAATTAAGGTTAGGCTGACGCATGTTAATGAGATTAATATCTTATTAATTTTATTTTTTTTAAATGGAAGAAAGTAAACTAGATATCAATTTAGTGACTATACAATTTACGCATTGCGTCTAATCATTATATAGAAGTGATTATTTATAGCTAAATGCCATCCGTGAAACCCCCCACCCTACCATAGTCCATTACACGCAAATTGCCGTTCAGAAAATGTTGAGCTGATTTCATCCCCAGCAAGTCACGAGTCATTTAAGAGCGAGGTTCACAACAAACAAGGATGCCATATTTCAATTTATTGAATTTGGTTTATTGGTTAGGACACACAAAGAAAAAATGTGAAAAATTTTTTATTTTGAATTCATAAGAATCTAGGAAATAAAGATTCATAGATGTTCAGAGCTAACTAAAACACCCAAAATCAATTACCTTGTCAGATATTTCCTGCACAGGATGTCCTATCCATTCCCTTTGTATATCGGCCACATCTTTCCACCCATCTTTGTCCAATTTATCGAGTTCGTCGTAGAGAGACTTAAATATATATATTTTTTTAAAAAAAGTAATGTATTTCTGATATCGGAATGTCTTATAACTCGCTAAAAAAAATTTATATAAAGCTATGTCTAAAATCTTTTTTAAAAAAAATTCGAGGTCTTTTTGTCAGAAGTTTTAAAATATTATTTTTGGAAGATATAAGTGGTAATACTGTATTGTATGGATAAATCATCAACAAAAAAATAATACTATATCATACTGACCAGGCAAATTTTTTTTTATTTAATCATCTTTATTTCAGATTCTATGAACCTTAAATCTCAATATTGATAGCAATCATAAAGACTTACACTAAAGAATTTAAACTTAAAATCAGCCACCACCCACCCTTAAAGTAATTAACTCATACTGCAGTTCTTGGGCATAGGCTCTTTTTCTGCCCCACTCTTTTTCTTAAAGCCTATGGACGTCTGTAACATTTTTTGAAATGTTGTGCGTACAAGGTACAAGTACGTGCAGCTTGCCCACAAACGTGTAGAGGGCTCCTCATATTTTTTTAACTTTACACCCCACAATTAACTTATGTTCCAATTAGATGGAAATGAGGGAAACCTAGAGTAGCTCTGTTGTTTATTCAACGTCAGAGGGCAAATGCGCTATATATCACGGATCATGGAAAATTGATTTATAAAAAATTTTCTAGGATTATATTTTGATTGGAGATCATTGAACATAAGAGACCAATTAAAACTCGCCTATTATATAAGGTGATGGTATCTATGAATTTGTTGCTGTTTGTAATACTTATGGTTGTAGATTATGTAAAAAATTGAACATATCATACAGAATTTTATCTTTAAAGCAGACATAAAAAGGTGGTCGAAAATGATTTATTTTTTTTACAATTTTACCAACAATGACAGAAATGGACTGATAAATTTGGTTCAATTTAAGCTCTATATAAGTTTCTTATTAATGAAGAGTGGCATATTTAAAATACAGTTAAGCATATAGCAGGAGAAAATGTTAATTTGACAAAAGAAATAGGATGTGGAGCCTTTGGCAAAATTTATAAAGGGAGATTTATATTATGATTTGAACAAAAATAAAATGACGATAAAACAAATAAAAGTGGGTCTTGGTATAATAAAAATAGATTGTGCAGTAAAAATATTAAAAGAATTTCATAAAGTTTTCTTGAAGAGAGTTGGGCATTAGCTATTATAAGGGATCATCCCAACATCTGTGAACCTCATTGGCGATTCCTGCAATCATTTTTTAACAGCTGTTATGGAATATCCTTGTGTAGTATTTATTCCTACTGGCGACAATTTAGCAATATAGGAATATGCATAACATTCGAGGAAATATTAGATCATATTTATATTTTGAATGAATTGAAGTTGGATCTAGATAAACCAATAAAAAATGATCTTTTTCGCAGGACAAGATATTCTGAGAAAATTGGGGACAGTGGTATTATATTTTTGTGTGGTAACAGTTCAATCAAACCTTTGTTAACTGATTGATGAAGTGTCTAATTCCGTGCTATTTATATTTTACAAATCTGTTAGAATGTGTGGGTGGGTATATATATATCAATGTTGATTGCAAAAAATCATGTGGCTTCATATTCCCAACGAACTTCAATCAATCAAAAAAAAATTCACAAGTGAATCTGGGAATGGCAAAAATTTTAAATCATAAAGATTTTGCCCTTAGAAAAGTATCTTTACACATATCCTAAAAGTTCTGATATAAAAATAAATTTACAAAAAAGCCACATGACTAGAATAGTCAACAGAATTTATTTAGGGTAACCAGATCAAGAAATCAGCTATATGAATCAAGCAACACTAATAAAGTTCTTATATTATATTATCAAAATGGGTATTATAAAAAAGAATCATTCAGTCATGAATTTGAGTTATAAGGTTGAGACTTGGAAAAACTTTGGTCAAAAAAATCAAAATATCCTTTATATCTGTTAAATTCGTGATTAGTTAGAGCGATACATGAAAGGGCATCCATATATAATTCGTGTCACACAAATTTCAGTCAAAGGTATATTGGGGAATTTTCAGTAGTCAAAGTCAATATTCCTAGCTAAAGATTACCTGTATTAATTATCATAAATTATTTTTAAAAGGTAAAGAACCAAAATCAAAATTGTCTCAAAACGAAGTAGAAAATGATCTTGAACCTCCAAAAGACATTCCGATTCTAAATTATTTATATTGCAGCAATTTAACTGTAGACACAATGACAACAACAAAAACACAGTAATAATTTATTAATCTATTAATTTAAAAATAAATCTAAACTGGCAAATAAAATATCATAAAACCTCTTACCTCCCAGCGATATTTTCAAAACTAAATATATGTGGAAAGGTGTCAATATGAAATTAAAAATAAAACATGGTCAAAAAATTAAGCCTCTTAGCCATTAAAAAAATTCATTCGATTAAGCACAAAGGGTTTCACATTATTTGGGATGCAGGACACAAAAATAAAGTGAAGAGGAGAAGCAAAAATATTTTCTTGTTATTGATAGACTTTAAAATAAATTTAAAACAATAAAATGATAGATAAATAAATAAAATAAAAAAATGTGTGAAATGCATTTATTTTACTTTAGAAAATGCAGTAGTCTTAAGAAACCATTGCTTAAGCCTTTTCTTTTCAACCTTAGAACCTGATCGCCAAGAAATACCATTTGCATCAACTTGTTCCCTGGCCAGGACTGTTTTATCAACAGGATCCCAATCTACTTCTGCCTAAAGTGTTTTATAAAATATTGCATAATGAAATGCTAGAATTAATGAATGTTAACCAAGAACTGGTTCAGACTACTATGTAGTGGAAAAAATTCTAAAAAATGATAATTTTCACTTGATTTAAATTAAATGTCACTTAAAATGTTTTATGGACAATAGAGTGGTCTAAACCGGTCATGGTTGACAATAGTTTAATAGAATTAATAATATAATTTTATGTTAATTCAAAATTATGAACTAATGGATATGAAAGTAAGTCATCTGACACAAATGATATCTGTGAATGTATAAAATTTCAAATAATTTTTCTACAATATTTAATAATCATATTTAACCCATTTCTGATAGGCTAATCCATGTTCATATAGTTTGAGAAATATGAATTGGGTCCATTGATAATAACTGGCATGAGAGGTGGTAATTTCCTATATAAGTATATAGCTTTCAATTTCTAACATACATAAATAATTAATAAAACTTATAAATTTTAATTAAAGATTTTTATTATTATAAAAGAAAAATTCTTAAAAGATTATATATAATTTGCAAGAGAGGGGGAGTAACTTTTGCAAATTTATTTCAGAATATTGGGAATATATTTATAATTTATATTAAAAATTAAAACCGTATTCCAATCAAAATCACACCCAAGATTACATAATTGTTCCTTCATAATTGATATATTATTATCTGTCCATTGTTTAGGATCTATGCCTCTGGATAAAGCAGCATTTTCGGCAGGTAAGCCAAATGAATCCCAGCCCATAGGAAATATAACCTAAATAAAAAGAATGGCAAGTTTTATATAAAATCATGTATTTAGTTGTAAAGGAAAGTATAAATAATATGGATTCAAGTTATTAAGTAGTTCAAAAAGAATTGATAAGTAATATTAAAATAATTGGAGCTAACATTTTTGCCAATCATTCTATGATATTTAGCTAGAGTATCGCTAGTCATATACACCCTTACATGACCCATATGTAAATTCCCTGATGGATAAGGAAACATTGCCAACAAGTAAAATTTTTCTTTTAAGGAATTTTTATTCTTAAGTGATATTGACAATTCTCCAAGTTTAGGTTTCCAGTATTTCTCAATATCTTTTTTAATTTTATTATCCAAAAACTTTTCCTGAGATTTTATTAATCGTTAGAGAATTTGAATTATAAATTTATACCCATTTGCCATCTTCGCTATATATATTTCGTAAAAATCTTAAATTTTGATTTTTGAGTTTTAACATGCAACTTTTTACAAACCTGTCAAACAGCCGAATTTTTTAAATTCAATATGTGTAATTTCAACAGACCCCCAATGACATATAATAATATTATATCATTGCAGACACCAGGAATCGAAGCATGCATCATGTTTTTTCACTATTATATAGATCCCATACATGATGTCTCCCTATTCATTATAGTGAACGGTACCACTATATAGTCAGATTAGAATAGTAAAAGGAGGTAGGAATAAGTATGGTGGTGATATATAATAGTTCCGTATTTGTTATCGGCAGAATAGACTTAAATGTTGAGATATCACGTAATGATGTACCATAGCTATAATAATGCCCCAGAAGCTCCGGTTATATTACCCTAAAATGCAATTTTATTCTTATGTTTAAAAAAATTTTAATCTTTAAATGTTTGTGGTCAGTGGCGTAGATAAATAACCCATTTTTTAAATTCCTTCTTTGTCTTATAATTTTTAATAAGAAACATGGATCTGTATCTAAGATACATTTTTATAAACTAGCTCTGCTCTGAACACTATAATTCATATTGAGTATATAATTTAAGATTTACAAAAAAAAATGACATACATTGATTTTAGATTATATTAACTTTCACATTTAACGATAATTTAAATATTTGATTTATAGCCACAAAAAACAATATACAAACAGATAATATAATATTATAAACAAAAAACCATTAAAATATAAAGTAGAATATATATAATATTAATACATGCATCGAATAAAATTTTAAAAAATGAAAAGAAAAAAGGAGCAACCAATAAAAAATTAAACGTGTGTTAAAGGGATGAGACAATTATGATAAAATATGGCATTCTATTGGAGAGAGGTAATTATAATTAATGTTGATTCAATATAATACCAGAATGAATCAAATTATATGTAGAAAGGGAATGGGATTAATGTAATTGATAATCGATTCAATATAATAGAATACAAAAATACATTACATATGGTTATTTATTTAACAAGAAAAGAGAAACTTTCTTACATACCAATTTACTTTCATTTCAACAAAGAAGCATATTAACTTTGTTTTATAAAAAATGATTAATATGATTTTTCATATATTATTTAACTAATATTTGCGGCGATAAAAATATACTAATAAATGATATTATTTTACACCGGCTATTAACTTTGTACTTTCAAATTATATTATTGGAATTTTACCGTTGTTTGATTTAATAAAGAAACTTCTGATATTCTTAATACCGAGCTAAATTCCTACAATAACCTAGAGCAATTATCCATAGCATTAAGGTTTATTGATATGGAATCAGGTTATATCAAATAAAAGAACTCTTTGTTCAATTTATTGCATTGTATGACACTAAATCAGAGACGATACCCAAAGAAATTATAGCAATCCTTCAAGACTTAGATTTAAATTTAAATCTAATGAGAGGTCATGATATAATGGAGCTCCCTCGATGAGTGGTCATGATAAAGGGGTGTGATCGTGGATTAGAGAGCTTTATAGCTAAGCTTCTATGTTCACTGTAGTTCACATTGCCTAAATTTGATGATATCAGAGGCATGCGTAATAAAAGGCATCCGGAACAGTTTACGTAAAAATATTTTAATTTAAATGGAATTTGTTAGATTTTAATTTCTATTATATAAATGATATCTTTATATAGTTCTAAAATATTTTTTATAATTTATAAATAATATCTTCTGTTTGTAACTTTTTCACAATAACCAAGGGAGGAAGCTTTTTATACGAGCGTTTGTGACATTTATTCAAATAATCAAAAAAAATTAACAAGATTTTGTCCAACTAGTTGAACAAGAGTCAGTGAGACTTTTAATTGAATTATATGAAGTTATTCAAGCAAAGAAAAAGATTCCGCAGATGCTGAAAATCTTTTGCAGGCTATTACGTATTTTAGCTAATTTTCCGATTAGTATCTGTCTGCACTAATGAAAGGTCTTTTTCAACTTTAAATGTTAAATACCTACTTAAGAAATTGCACTGGTGAAAGCCGTTTAAGTGGATTAGCCCTATTAAATATTTATAAGTAAATTATTCTAGATAAAAATTTGATTCTAGGTGAGCGAGATCAGAAAAAGTAGACCTCTCTTTATAAATTTAAGTCAAAAAAATATGTTCTTATATGCGAAACTTATTTATAATAAATTTTTAGTCATAATATTTATATACTTTTTATATTATACTATTTCTAATTAAGCTATTGCATTTGCAATAAGAATTAATTATATTTTGATAATATATTCATTTGAATTAATTAATTGTCAAATTTTATATTTTTTTCAAATACCGTTATTTGCAGCAAATTTTTTAATTTGTAGACATTTTTATGTGAATGACATTTTTATATTAGAATATGAGTTCCATTAAAGTAAGAGTGGTATATTTTCAATAAATGTCTTGGATTTTAAATCAAAACTTGGAATAATATCTCAACTTGAATAATTACCACATATTATTATCACAAAAAAATTTTATTATCCATTAAATATAAATTGGACCTGATAAATACTTCTAATTTTTTTTTGATTTTTTGTCTGTTCCAAGTTTTAGAATCTACTTTTTCCTAATCTGATCAATATTCATTCTAATGTTGTTTACTGTTTGAAATATTAAATTTGTCCAACCGGAAATCAATTGACGTGTTGTGTTTATGGGTTAGGGGTCGTGTTTTATTTTATAAAATTTATTTCGAAAAAATAACGGCAAAATTGTTTATTCTCCGCGCTTGTAATATTTCTGATTTCCTTTGAAATATCGTTTTTTTTTAAAGTTTAATTTTTAAAAAATGGGATCGTACCTATTTCTAAATCAAGGTTGGATTGATCCGTTTGACACCATTTAACAGCTGAGCGATTTTAAAATTTTTTTAGAGATCTATTTTTCTTTATTGGAATCATTAATTCCTAGGTTATTGTCATGAATAGAATTAAAAATTGCTGACAGGTGAAACAGGGGGATATTTACCATAAAGTCAAAGGAATACAGCTGATTATTTTGATTTCTCATGTAAATACATTAAGTTTTATGAAGACTTTGAATAAAAATATTTTCGAGTTTCATTTATCTATAAAAAATTATTCTCTTATAATGGGAGAAACTAAAATGCCATGTCACCATGCCATTGGGTTGGGACATTCATTAGTGAAATTAACAATAAAAATCGTACTTATGTTGGAAAGTATTTCAGGAGAAACTAAATATCCGATTAACAATGTCTTAAAAAGAATTGGTGAACATTACCTTAAAACATTCACAATTTGAATTGGATCCACTGGGTGGAGCTATTAATCTCTCTTTCATGATTTTAAGAAACAAAAGATTTTTTTTTTCATCACAAAAAGGGACTACTTCATAAATATATGTATGCTAAAAAAAAATTTCATAACTTATTTAAGTGTTGACTTATTTAGACCCTGATCTTAATATTTAAACGCCGTATCAAAATATATGATAAAACCAAAAATTATATGTCAATTTAAAATTTAAAAACATCCTAATCTTTCAAAACAGAACTATATCCAATTGGTAAAATTGTGATTGAAAGCCCAAGAGTATTATATATTATTTACAAGTCAACAAGCAAACATTTAATGAACAAATAATAAATAATGATTCCACTCTTACTTTTATGGAACCCATATTCTAATATAAAAATGTCATTCACATAAAAATGTCTACAGGGCATGGCCTGTTAAGAATTTTTACACAAGTTGCTCGGTCAGTTAAATTTTTTGTCCGGTCTGGACCTTAAGCATAGGTTCGCTAAAATCTTACTAAAAATCTGCCAAGGCCCTGTGGCGTATCCAAGATTTTCCTATAGGGGGGGGGGATTTGTGGGCTTTGCCCCCAAACCCTATTTGGCTGGTCTTTTGGCCAGCTTTTTCCCCACCTTCGGCTGGGTCATATCTTTGAGCTATTCTTTTAAATTATTCATAATTCAATAATAATTATATTAATATTTTTAACTTTTATTTGAATTTGGGTTCCTTTTATAAATTAATTATTTAAGAATTTTTTTTTTTTAATTTTTAAATTTAACATTTATTAATAATGTAATAGACAAATTAAATCTGACAAAATGATAGTGTAAAAATAAAATCATGTCCAAATATAATTCTAGAAAATTCAAGAAATTTAACAAACAAGGACTTCATAATACAAAGTATAATAATAGATATAATGGAAATATAATTGCAAATGATTATATGAGGAAGAAGGGGGGGGGGGAATTTTAAATAATTTAGGGAAGAAGAAGAAAATCTAGATTAATCTGGCTCCTCGGGGAATGAACCTATGAAGCATGTGAAATTAGATTTTATAATCTGAATTCCTAACCCAATTTTTATTTTAAGTTAGGTATATTATAAATAAATTTTTTTTAAAAAATATAAAATTGAAAAAAAGTTTAGTGTCTATTTTTTTTTTATAAAATTTGTTTTAAAAACTAGCCTCAGCTTAAATTCTCATATTATATAAATATAATTTTTTTTTATTGAAAATACTAATTGTTGTGAGTATAAAATATTGACTAGTAAATTTTTTAGAGAACAAGTTTTTATAACTTATTATCAAATACAATATTATATAAAAAATTTATTAAAGATTTTTAATTTTCGTGGGAAATTTGCCAATTCATCAAGAATTTTCTTTGTCGTTGGAATTAAATCTCTGTGGATATTTAACAGAGCTAACCCATTTAGCCGAGAAGTAGTATTTTGTAAATAATTTTTCAACCTTCTCAATTTGAAAAAGGTCCTTTCATTCGTCTATGTTGTAATAGGCAAACATGCAAGAATATTAAATACCTTCAAAGTATTTGGAAATTAAGTTTCCTTATACCGATTGAGCGCATTAATAGCATGCTTAGTTAAAATAATAAACGTAGTAAATATTTATACCACAATTCGAATTCACTGATTAAATTGATTTCAGTATCAATATCATAGGAATAAAATTTTGCTAAATATTTAATTTTACCAATAATGGCATCAGAAAAC